AAACTTTCTTGCTCAACCAATTTTTCCAAATAATCGTCTTCATCACTAAAATCTTGGATAGGTATTTCGGTATTTTCATCGTCGGAACTATCTTCGAATACTTTTTTTGTAATTTCATCGTACCTTTTCTGGGGTTTCTATTAATATTCAAGATTTTCTATTCTTCCTGCCTCCTTTGGTTTTTCTCGGTGCAGCAGGTATTTATGCATGTACCTTGGGACTGTCCAAAGATTATCACTATGAATAATTTTTGTTGATTTTTTTTTAGTTAGTAAATTGACAGTTTTATATACTAACCAAAAATATAAGAAGGTATTAAGATATATACTCACATAATTCAATTTTCTCGAAACACTTACTGTCGTTAGTATACGAGAATTAAATTGATGCGCCAAAACACGACGAGTGGCCAAAAGCACGTGCCCTGCTTTGAATCGTTAAAGAAACTGAGAAGTAAAGTTGGCTACCTATCATTGAAACTATATTCGAACAATTTTACTTTACGGGAAAAGATGGTACCACCTTTATCCCAAGGTACATGCGACCCAAAATACAACACTCCCTTACTCTTATTACTATATACCAGGAAAGAACAAAAGGATACTGCAAAAACTGTGCAAGAACCAAGTCCACTTTTTTTAAATTTTGAACATATAGTTAATGGTGAATGTAAAATGTACAAAAATGTAAACCGTATTTTAGTTTTTTAACTTTTAAATCACTTAGCTTACAAATAAATAGTTTTTGTTTCTTGAAAAAATAAGCGACACTGGAGTTGGTCGGTTATTGCATTGAACACTTCAATTTAATCAACAGAACCGAATTATAACCAATAATGATCGCTGTATTATTTAGTTTTTATTCAATAGCTCATGCACTGACTAGGACGTGTCGCGAAAATTTCCTATTCCAAATCGGTGTAGCTGTGTTGACCCTTCAGTAGTTATTTCACTGGCAGCCTTGCTGCTATGGCTTGCTCCCCGCTCCCCCGACCGCAACAGTATATTGCTTTTAATTTATGTTTAACTTTGCCGCCAAGGCTAAGAGGGCCAGCTAAGTTCAGGGAAATTATTTAAAACGTCAAAACGTATTCAAAAAAATTAAATTGATGTTGGTGTAGCAAAGGCGAGACATTGAATTCTAGATCTGATTGTAAATATAATCGTGTAAAGAATTAAACAGTGTTCTGGTAACGAAACAACCATGTTAGCATAGGCATCTCCATAGACAAGTATTTTTTTGCAAACACATTTGTTGTGCGCCCAGTGCAAGATAGATCCGCGTTCAGAAAATACGAAAGGCAACAAAAAAGAAAACGTCACCAATAGTTCCACAAGAGTAAACAGCAGAATTAAGAGTCTTCGACAATACATTTATGATCCTTTGAGATGTAATGCACGGTGGTTTAATTCAATCAATCAGTCTTCTAGTATTAGTAGCGATAGCTTGTGGTTTCGCGCCTTTGCAAAATTGATGTTGTGGGGTCTTTCGCTGAGGACATGTTCCGCCACTGTCGACTCTTCCACATGTCCCAGTTTAGAACTCCGTCGATGTTCTTCTATTCCTATCCCAACCGCTCTCGTCGTGGTTCCTATGTAGACGTTTCCACAGGCGAATGAAATTCGGTAGATCCCTGGAGTTGCGAGCGGAGGTCTTTTGCCTTTAACTGACGCTACCCATTCCCGGACCTTTGTTGTGGGCTTGCAAATCGTTCTTATGTTGTGCTCCGTGTTGGTTCCTAAACCTTTCAATTATGCCCGTACCTCTGGAAACAAAAAGCAGAAGAGCCTTTACAGTGGATTTACTCCTTTCAACACGGCTCACACCTACAGTTCTTTTGATGTCCAACTGAAAATATCCGTTCTGAACAAAGGCATTTTGCAAGTGCTGTACTTCTGCGGTTAGACGTTGTTGTCCACATATATTGTTTCTGGCCTTATCCATAAGAGTCTTGATGCTTCTCACTCGGGTGGTGGTGGGATACCTTGTGAAGGTATCTGAATTTGTGGGTGGCTTTTCGATATACCCTGTGGTCCACGCGATTTCCTTCCCTAGACACCAAAACGTCGAGAAACGACCGTTGGTGGTGTTGTTCAACTGATGGTTCCATAATGAATTTGATATGTCTGGATGCTGTTTGTTTAGATAGTCAGGGAAAATGTCTAGGTTTTCACGTCCATGCCTTCGTCTCACGAACGTGTCATCGACATATGGATATCCGATCGTTGGTTTAACGGTGCCATGATCAATGCTGTGTTTTATCAAACTTCTCCATGAAACGGTTCGCCATCACCGGGCTGAGTGGGCTTCCGATAGCTACCCATGCCTTTTGCTCGTAGTAGTACTCTCAATTTCACCGGAAGTAGCTGCCGTTTAGACCAGCCTTGAAAAATTTGTTGTACTCTCTTCAAATAGTTCCGTCAATAAATGTATGGATTCGTCCAAGGATAGATATTTTGCTTTATCGTACGTTTGTTAACCTTCGGTAATCCGTACAAGCGTGGGGGGCGAGCTTCTGACTTAATAATCCTCTTTATGCTCTTGTCGTCTATTCAGGATATTTTAATCAGGCGGTTGATGTTCCTGAGCTTGGCTCTATTCGGGGCTTTCTTGAGCTTCGTGTAAGTGACTAAGTGCAATGCGTCTTGGGTTTTCTGCTCGTACTCCTCTCTGTTTGTGATAACTAAAGCGTTGCCTCTGTCACCTCGCTGGACAACAATGTTTGTATTTCTTCGTATTTCTTTGAGCGCTTGTTGTTCTTCTCTACTTAAGTTGCTTGTTGATGGTTTCGCTCTACTAGGATTTGGATCGTTTCCAGAGGTATTTCATGGGCCGTTTGTTCTGGAAGCCCTTGCATCGCCGTCTCGGTGTTAGAGATAATTTCCTCTATTGGTGTCGTTCTTGGACTAATAGCAAAGTTTCCTCCCTTCACCAAAACAGACTGCTCCGCAGGTGTTAGTGTACGACTGCTCAGATTCACTGCGTTTGACATTGGGTTCAGGCGTGAAGTGGTTTGGGTTGTTCCTTTAGATTTGCCTTACAATTTTGCAAATTTACTTTTTCTGTCCCTTCGTGGCTCTGTCGATTTCCCATTACTTGCTCTTGTAAGAGATCGCTTCAATTTTGCAGTCAGCGTGATACAGCCTGTGTCCCAGTTTGTAAAAGAGGTTTAGAATTTCTCTGTTTTTTTTGCGTCTGTCGGATCTTTCGACGGCGTAAAAACGCGAAAACCCACTAGTTTCTTTTGTTAAAGCTCGGATTGAATAAACAGCATCAAATGGTTTCAACGTAAACTGGACTGAGAAAGTCCGTTTCCATTGCTGTTTAATTTGTCATTGGAAAATGTATTGAAACATCGTACCAGACTTAGCTGCCCGGGGAACACAAATCGTCTTAGCGTTTGCCGACGATATACTAGCCCTAACAACTATATGTTCGGACGATGTTGAATAAAAAATAAACCATTTATATTTACATTAAATACGTTTCTTATATCTGCCACAAAGAATACTAGAACGGAAAAATTAATTCATTATCTCTTCAGCATAAAGGGTGAGAATGGAAAACATTTTTTATTCTGCTTTTACTTTGCAATCAATCAGCAAAAATGAAACAAACTTACTGACAAATAAATATTCGGTCGCACTTCAATACTATCATTAAAGTATATTAATTCGAAGTTTGATCGGAAGTAACTCAGCGAATTCAAAATTTCAGGTGTTTTGACCTTTAATCCCGGAACTGGTCGCTGAAGATCGGTACGCAATGATTTCTTCTTTTGATGCGATATCGTTTCTATAACATTCAACTGGACATAACGTTCTCTTTCAGGAAATAGTACGGGGTCGTCGTGAACTTTTACCACAAACAGCAACACTAGCAGTCCCCTTTAGTCCTGGGTAAACTTTTAGAAATTGGCGCAGTGCTACGCAAATGACTTGTTGCGCCGACCCAACGTACCGGCGCAGTAACTCAGTTCCGTTGCAACTGCTGTGTGTGATCAAGGCAAACGTACTTAAATTATGAGTTAAAAATAAAGTAAGCACAAAGTGGCAAAACATTACTCATAAAAAATGGTGATGATCTTTTTTTTTAGATGTTACCATTCTTGCTTCGGGTCGGTAGTTGTGCCAAAAATTAATAAACATCAATAAGGCATCCTTGGAAGAGGGAGATTTAGAAATTTTACATCTGCTGTAAGTAGCTATAATCCCTGTTTGGTTTTGTGGACCAAAAATGTTGGAAACGGGACGTTTACTATAGTCTGCTTAAATATAACTTTATAACTACTTTGTGGAGTTGAGTTACTTTATGCTAGTTAAATGTTCTAAAGCAAAGGAGCAAATTTACACCGTATTAAGAATAACAGCAATTAAACTGGCTAAAAACTGACTTTTCCCCAAAAGAACGAAGCGGGTTTTGGATAGCGCGCAACTAGTGATATCAAGTAAAAAAATGGACAAGGGAAATGGTTCGCTTCAATACACAACAACAAATTCTCAGTATAAAAAACTATTATAAAAGTGTAGAAAGTTTTGCAGCCACAGTTCGCAATATGCGTATAATTAATGGCCACCGAAATGCTCCAAATGAAATTATTGTAATAGGCCTGAGTAAGTGCATTGTATTGAGTTGTGCTTTTGAGCTGTTGCCGTTCTCTGCTTTAATGAGTTATAATTAATCGGTTAATGAGTTATAACACACGCACGGCGCCTTCTCTTAAAAATTTACTGAGTTTTTCAGGCATAAATCAGAGTATTTTTGACTGGGAAGATTTTGATTACTTTGTTTGACTTGTTTTTAGATTTAATAACAATATTTCAAAAATTTCGTCAAAATTTCTAAATTTTTCAGTTTGAGATGCTCAATTTTGTTTTGCAGTTTTGAAATCTTTACCTTTCACCTTCGAATTTGGGACAAAAATCAAATAATTCTCTATCAAAAGTCGAACAGAATAAGCGAAAGTTTATTTTGTTAAAAAAATGCGGTTTTTTACTTTTGATAATTTTTTTTTGGTTGATATTTTGCTTAAAACGCTCTATTTTGTAGCGTTTCACTTAAAAATTCTGACGATCTGGAAAATCTTACAAAAAATTGCAAGGTAAATTTACAGGTTTGTAGAAATTTTACAAAAACTTTTTCAACGCCGAATTAGGGAGAAAATCAAAAATAAATTTCTCCCGTTATTTCCTGAAAACCATTAAGGTTTTATCAAAAATCGATCACAAAATTAACAGTTTTTAATCAAAAACGCAAATTTTTTTTTCTTTTCTTACAATAATGGCGTCGTTGCAGCCAAAAATTATAAAATTAAGTTTGCTCGCAAATTCGCCTCACTGATCAATTTGCAGAAAACTTTAGAAAACCCTTTTCAATTTTGAGGTATTTTTTGTGAAAAAAATATAAGATAAAATTTATTGGAAAACCTTAAACCTTAACTCTTTGGCCTCCTTAACAGCTTTGCAAAAAATGTTGAAAACCCTTTCCAGCTTCGAATTATGGACAAAACCTTAATAATTTTTTCTGGATCTATTGACAAAAATATTTCCCCGAACTGAAAAAGCGAAAGTTTCTAATCATTTATTTGGAAAGCTCCTGACAACCTGGTTTTCTTAACTTTTAGGTTAATAGTTCTAAACAACAATGTCTCCAAACAGAAAAACCGTGTTTTTTCCTAACGTATTACTGTAAAATACTGGCCACCTCCGTCTTTCACCAAAACTAGTCGACTTTCATTGGATTCAGTTTAGTTGCTGGGAAAATCGAGATGACCGCTTATTTAGTTTGAACAAAGTAATCAATGGTTACTCGGAAAAAATGTTTATGACCTTTTTTAAGATGTGACAATTTCAGTCTGGTCTTTAAAGCTTTAATCCGCTTTAATAAATGACATAATTCAGTAATCGCCTAGTGAATTCAATAGCGCAACTCAAGACAATGTTACCAAAGTCTAGTCGCGCCGCACTTTTTTATAACACAACGAACAATATTTAGATCTTAGCATGAAACTCATTTAACTCAAACTGACCGAAATTAATCTAACCCTATTTCCCAAACCTCACCGACAAAAAATCACCCTGCGTATGGCAAGCCTCCAGAAGGGATAATTACCATCAATTATTTGGGAGTTAAGCTGCCAAACGACGCAGACATATAGAAGGGTTGGCAAACCCAACGAGACCTTATTAAAGACGAAGTAAAAGTCTGGGGAGGAAAGAATGAAAACAGCAATTACTGTGCACGAAACTCATTACAAGCCAGTCGTTATCTGTTGATGTGGAAGTGGAAACCTTAGCAAACAGCAAAAAAGTGAAATACAAGATGCGACAGCGAAGGTTATGAGCAAAATGAGAAGAGTGAAAATTTATGGCGTGACAAGATAATATGGAAAAAAAATTGAAGTGGAGCCATTTCTTGAAATCAGAGGAAAACAACAGCTAACGCAGTTTGAATTTTTTCTTAATACTTGCGAAACTCTTTCATTAAAGAATAATAGTGCATGTTATTGTACATCCTAAGACTTTTTCATCACAGTCTAATCGATCTAGAAAAGATACCGAAAGTGGAAAGCAACATGATCATTTTTAATTAGTTACAATTTCAAGGATTTTCGATTTGTTGCATGACTTGTGTTCGGTAGTGTAGCAAATCATAACAATGAGATAATGTAAGTAAATTATAATACTCACTGCTGCAGCTCCAAATACCAACATAATGGAGAAAATGCACTGGAGAGCACTAGCAACAGAGATGATGATTAACATCGTTCTCAGAACTATAAAAAAACAGATAGGAAAATTGTACAGAAAGAAAATGCTACTTACTCTCCAGCTGTGGCAACACCGAGGCATCGTTCAGCTGGACCAGTTCGTGCGGATGTTTTACATAGGCGGCGCTCAAAATCATGCACATGAATGCGAAAATGCTTTGAACTACGCCTATGATGATGGTACCGTATTTGAGGCTGACGCCACAACAGTTGGTTAGTTCTGGGGCACCCATGGTGGGTTATCTAAAACTATTATTCATCTATATGTCTGGTGCAAGTTTTAATAACGTGATGCCTATGTATTTTAACCAAAACTTTCTAATTTCCGGGTCAATGGGCGCCCAATTCCTTCCATTTTAAATCCTCAACCAAGACAAGATTTTACAAATTTTAACTCACCTCAGATCACTTATCTTCCCAGAACTCAGAACAATCGGCAGACAAAACTTAGTCTTTTTGCTTTCGAACTATCAGCTTTTGCGCATATGTAGCTTTACACGTCCATCACCATAGATAAAGACAAGTCCATCACCAAGAATGGTTTGCCATCAACCATGACCAACGCGATTTGAAGCAGGTTTCGACCTACTGTATGGTTTGCGTAAGTGTTAAGGTTGGCCAAAGAATTTAGTTTTTATTATTAATGATTTTCACTGAATTTCCATTATATGTATCTCACAAACAACTGGCCATGACAACTGGGAATTTGCTTGTTTTAGTCTCTGGAAGTCTCTGGGTGGTTTAATGCAGAAATCCCATCCCGATAAATGCTATAGTGGCGAAAGCTCCGGATCAAATTGAAATTTATTGAGAGGCCAACCTTAACTGTAATGGGTTTCACTCGGACATGGTACTGAACCGCCATGCTACGTACGTCGTAGCCAGCGTTGCCAGCAGATTACTTTTTAAAATTTATTTAATAAAATTTTATTAAAAGGGAAAATGTTTCGACAACACAGTATGCCGCATCTGAAGAAATAATTCGTAATTGATGCTTTTTAGTCGAACATAACGGGCGATTAGAAATTTCATAAAAATGCGCGGCCGTTACTGAAAATCGAGGATTTTGACAATTTACAATGGTCTCTGGCCTGCATAAACAAGCTCTAAATACCAACATAATTCCAAAAAGTTAACTTTCCGAGGATGATTAAAAATTATTGTCACAAATAGAAGTAATCTTGCTCCATTAAACGTTTATAAAGATTGTTCTTAAAATTTTCCCGATACTGAGAAAACAAATGCAAATCTTATCACTGTTTAAGCAACCCCAAAATTCTATCGCAAGTTTGAAAAATCCTTGAGCACCACCTAATGATGGCTCATAATCGAAATTTTTTCTTATCTGGAAGGTGTCAGTCCTACAAAATTGATGTGATAGCAAATATCCAGTTTTACTAGTCTCTGAGAAAATAACATGCGTTAAGCATAGGAACGTATATACAAGTACAATTTTTTTGCAAAATTCAAAAATCTTTAAAATGGATTGATTGGCTCGAAAATAAATGTAAAACTAAAGCCTGCATAGACCACCGCAAAAATCAAATGCAAGTTTTAAAAAAATCAAAATCTCCTGAGAAGAATTCAAAATCGACGCATTATCTACTTGTGTAACAAACAGTGCTTTAAAAATTCCAAACAGAGTGATTTTCTCAATTTGCAACTTTTTTTGAAATGTACTGTTAAACCAGAATCTGCTTAATTATCCGGCAAAACTACAGGCTATTTTGTGTCTTGGAAAATTGAAAAGGCCTGACGGTCACAGAACCCCAAAACATATGATTTACACTACTAAATTATTAAATAGGCTCGGCCGTACAAAACTCACACAAAAGAAACTCTTTCACTGAATAACTAATTATTCATTATTAAATTGAATGAAAATGATAGTTTGCAATTGTTGAAAATTCTCAAAAATTGGTCTTCGGGCAATGATGATTGACAATCAAAAACGTTTTACTTATACAGGGTGATTCAAAATTGGCGTCATTCCTCTAAAGGTGTTGCCTGGCGCTGTTATAGGAGTACAGACAAAATAGTAAAAAATAATAATTGTTATTAAAAACTGAGAAATTTGCAGAAAACTATATCAGAAATACGGCAGCAATGTTTTTCAAGGTAATCTGCCTAATTGACATTGCCCAAATACCTGTTGCTTCGTAATTATCTAAAACTCTGGTAACCATGGAATTATACAGAGTGACAACAAGAAAGACAAAGATAAACGGTAAATTCAACAGGAGCCGATGAATGACGGAACCTATTTCGAAATGTCAACCTGTTCTCGTGACCTCGAATATTGGTGTTTATAAATCAATCATACAACATCAAACATTTGAATGGTTAACTCCAAACCAGCTAGTGCCTGTGTAATCTCCTTATTGTCTACTCTTATTACGCAGCTTCTCGTATTCAGTTAATTAAGTCCTGCTCCATTTGTATATCCTTGTGCTGTGTGTATCGTACAAACGTGGTAGGAATGTAGCCCTTCCTCGGTATTTATTTGGTGCCTGGGAAAGTGTCAGTGGTTGTGCTCTGAGTGCCCCTGGAAGGCCCTAATTCGATTATGTTCAATACTTGTTCCTATGTGCCTGGAACCCGAACATCTATTGTCGTCCACTATCTTCCTGGAACCACTCTCGTCGTCCTTTGTTGGCGTGAGCTCTTTCCGCTTCTGCTATGTTACTGTAGCATTTCCCTTGAACTAATCGCAAATCCGCAAATTCGTGAAAGGAAATTCAAAGTAAGTCACAGTTTGACAAATTATTGTTATTATTGGCAAGGGCTATCCACCTGTAACTATCTGTTAATGACAAAAAACATTATTGCCGCTGTGCCTTTTCAGAAAAAAAATGGAGAAGAGAACTTTTTGATATTAAAAATTTTCGTAATTTGAAGCAAAGATTGTATTTTTTTTTTGAATGCTTAAGTATTCCAATATGCATGGATCCAATTAAACATGGAACAATTTGAAAATAATGCTTAATAACAAAGTTGAATTTCGATCTTCAACTGTTAATATCTTCTAGAAATTAAAAAAAAAATGTTTTTCCATATTTTTCTCGTACTCCCCAAGGACCATTGGCGTCACCCGTTTAAAGGAATCACGCCAATTTTGAATCACCCTGTAGAGCGGATCATGGCATAGAAACGTGGTCCAAACCTTGTAAATTGTGGGGCAAATAAATATCAAACTACGTTCTACTTAAGTTACTTTGAGAAAATTTTATGCAAGTTTGGAACATTTCCGAAAATTTCCTGATGATTGAAAATTTACTCCTAGTGACTATTTAAAATTTACCCTTTCTACAACAGAATTTGCACTTTAAAGTATAAGCTAAAGCTCCCATCTCGTTAGTGCCTGAAGAAGTAGAACATTTTTTCAATGAGCTCACTTAATTTCTCGCTTTTTTGTGAAGAAAAGAAATTTCGGATTTTAAAATTTTTGTGAGTTTTTCATACTGCGCATGGCAGTCTTCGCTTTCTTGTAATGAAAACGATGCAGAATTCGAGGCAATTTGAGACAATTTAGATTTTTCGAAAAAATCGATCTCCCCTCTATCAAATTTTCGATTAAAAACAGAAACTTCACATGCGTGTTTTTGCAGCTAAATTAATTGCTTCCGACCTAAGAAGCTCCTGGATATGCAGATTTAATGTGTTTGAGCCATAATAAGGACGGTATGCCCGGTTAAAGATCGTAACTAATCAAAAGTCGCTGAAAATAGAAATGTTTAATGAGTTTGAGTTTATAAAAAGAAACATTTCATCGGTTAATTATGAAAAATCGTGCGTATTGGCGTGCAATTTAGTCTCCAAACTCATTGAAATTCCAGTCAAAAAAGATTTGACGAATTGCATTGATAAGTAAATTCCTGAACTTAAGGGACCGAAATTGGAATTAATCGAGGTCAATTACGGCAAATTCTCTTTAAACATAATTGAACCGAGTTGTAGGCCTACACTGACAGCAACTAAATTGGTGCAAAGTAGAAATCGATTAAATAAATCGACAATTATCGTTAGTTCCTGAAGAAACACAAAACTGCGGCCTGCAAAAACAATTGCCTGTTGGTGACCGATTATTTAAACTTCGTTAGTTATATCAGGCATGATCTTTGTATTTAAAATTGAATTCCTTTCTTTGCAAATTACATAGTACATAAGTGCTTAACTCTAGGCTGCGAAAATCATTATCAATATAAACGCATTATTTTAAAAAATTGCCAAACTTGACTGAAAGTATTAACTTTTCACACTTCTGGAACGGAGTTTGCTCTACACGTATTTAACGAAAACTGACTTTTTTGATTTGCCGCTTTCTGGGGAAATAAACTCCAAACTAGTGCCTGCTTAAATATCTGCCAAAATCTGATGCCGATTTGAAAAGGTCTTAAAAAATAAGAAAATTTGGGGGCCGCAAAAAACCGAAAAATCTGATTTGCGCTATTACGAAATGGACTTGGCCCTACTAACATCGCATGCAAGAAGAATTTCTACACTGTTTTAATGAATAATTATTTATTCGATTAAATACCAAATTTTGTCCTGCAAAGGCAAATGCTTTGAAATCCAAACAAACTTTGGAAAAATTATCGAAATTACTTTTCGGGAGATGATTGTTGAAAACATAAAACTTTTTTTATAAAGTAGATAAAAATGTGAAGGAAAAGATACTCTCTGACGTTGTAGGACAAATGGATGTCAATTTTCAACATACTTAAGTATCCCCAAAAGTCACATGCAACTTTGAAAATTTGTTGACAATTTCTTGGTGATGGGTAAAAATCAAAACTTATTTTCTGTATAAAATTTCGTTCTTCTACAACACACTTTGCTCGTTAAAACACAAGCCTATGCGATTCTTTTATATCGTTGGTTTCGGAAGAAAAAAAATGTCAGTTCCGGCTTGCAACAAAAATCTCGTAAACCAAACTGAATTTTGAAAAATTTCGAAAAAAGCCTGGTGATCTCCCAAAATTTCATCTGGCTACGTTACTAGTAAATGTTTATAAGACACTTGGCCGTAAAAAATAAATGGTGAACTTTATGCTGAAAAAATCACCGTGAAAATCAAATGCAAGTTGAAAAACGTCTTGATAATTGTTTGTTGAAAGCTGATAGCGGAGTATAAAATATAAAGTAAAAAAGCAACGCGACTCTATCATTTCGGTAAATTCTGAATAAATAAACCCCTTAAACCAATGTCAAGTTATGAAAATTTTCAACAATTGCCTGTGGGTGACCGGAAATTTTTGAAATTTTCGGACAAATGCCTGCCTGACCCGCTTTCCACTGATAGAACAGCCTTTCCCCTACTAAATGTGTCTCCAAAAAAATATGTAGTTTTACTGATTTCTTAGGAAACAAATGTGAAAGTCCGACATGAAATAGCAGTACAATCCAAACTCAATTTCGAAAGTTTTTTTGGAAATAACTGGGGACGATTTTACATCGAAACTTAAATAAAAATACAAAATAATGACACGGTTTAGACACGCAATTGATGAAACTAGAAAAATAAATTTTCAATCGGAATTATAGACTTGTCAGCAATGAGCAACAGGAAAAACGCAATGTATTGCTGAGCGGCGAAACAGCCTGATAAATAATTGTCTTTAGTACTAAACCTTTCACAAAGGCACAAGAGCTGGCAACGCTGAGTTCAGCCCGTTTGATTTCATTCAACACAATGATGATTGAAGTGATTAAACCTTGAACACACATTAATTACGCTTTTGTTTCGGCGGTTTTTACTAATATAATGCTGTTGATACACCCACCGAACATAAGTTTGCAGGATTTTCCATTTACTCGTATTTTGTTCTCAATAAATGATAATCTAGCAATTTTTAAGTGTCTTTTATTACGGGTAAATCGCTGATTTTCCGATACAATTTAATGAAAGGCTAACGACAATGGCGGAATAATCACAGAGCAAAGTGCACTTTGCCTATACTTTTATCGTTTCCGTGACTCAAAAGCTGCGGCCATTATCTCCCTAATTGCGGTGAATTGTTTAGAAGCGTTCTTCAATGGCAACAAAGCTCAAAGCGACGTTTTTTTCTTTGGAAAGCCGCATTTTTATAGAGCGAAACCGAGCGCGTCCGGTATTACACAGAAAAGGTCTCAATTAAGGCACGTGCCTGCAAAATACCCTTCAACTTGCAGGAAACCTCCAAAGTTTAATAAATATGATTAAATTCTCCAGCCGGTCATTGTAATTGAAACATTGAAAGGGAGAGTAAAATATCCACATGGCCTACAATTGCATTAATGTTCCCTATGCTTAGCAATGAACTAGGCCTACATAAAAGCAAAAGACAAAGACACTTTGCAAGTGAAAAATTTTGTACAAATAGGGTAAACGAGACCAACGTTAAAAGATTTGAAGTCGCTTCTATGATTAGTAGTAACAAACGATGGAATCTTAATAAATGAATTAGTGGTAATATGAAAATATCTCATGTGAACTCTCCGATTTGAATTTTTGATGTGAATTTCCGATAAAAACCGATAGAAACCTCCTTGCACTTTGATACGTTCGTCCATTGGACAGAAATCCCCACCCTACACCTGCAAGGCATGGACAGTTGCACAATTTATCTTAGTCAAAAGCTCCATGTTCAGCTAAAAATATTGAATGAGAACTTTTCAATAGTTCATAGCAATTAAACTGTCGTCAACTTTGATGCCCAGATTGAAGACGCTTCCGTTCGTGTTTTTTTCCCAAGCTGCAGCTTTTGGCACTGTTTACTCATTTTGTTTATTGTTGCGGGAAAAAGAAACCGAAAGAAAAAACCATGAACTTTCCCATGAGGCTGGCCATTGGCTCTGCCTGTTCTTTGCTTTTCATTATTCTGGTCGGATTTGTGGGGTTTCCGAAGATGATCAAAGGCAAAGTAAAAGACGTAAGTTTGCTCATTTATTAAAACAATTACAGTTCACTTTTATAAAAAATTATGAAGAAATTAACTTGATTTTAAAGTTTTCGATTTTTCTTTTATTTTCCTAGGTATGGGAAGAATAAACCAAAGTTTGCTGATTTAAAGTTTTATGTTGCTCAAAGGAAAATCCTTTAGTGCCTTCTTCAAATATTTTGAAAATTTTTAAAAGTTTGTTTTTATAATCATATGTATAAACGACAATAAAACGACAATAAAAATACGCGGGCACACAAGGAGCCTTTACATCAGCTTCTACTTCTGTTTAGGGCAGTAAATTCGTTTTATTTTTATCTTAGAAATGTTCATTTGTACAACGCATTTTTTGGAAAAAAACTGTTTGGAAAAAAAATGGTCAGTTTGCAGTTGGAAAGTGTTGAGCACAATTATTTCTGCTAAGCATGCTAAATAGCATATATTACCTGTGGTCCCTTGGGAAGTTTTTCATTTTTAATTTGTTTCCAGACAATGTCTGAAAGAGTGATTTTTATAAAAGTACACTTTTTATTATTTTCTCTATTCGAGCAACCTTTTCAAAAAACATATTTTGTTTTCACTTGGGTCAAGCACGAATATTTTTAGAAAACCGTAGACTTTTCAGACAAAAAAGGAGATTTAAAATTTTGGATTGCTTACTGGATAAATTTTATAAATTTGTTGATTCCAACATTCGTAGGTACTTGGCTCCTTTACTGGGAATATTTAAAAAATATGAATACATTTTTAAAAGATTGTCATTTGTGGAGTAAACATTACGAAAGTTTCATAAGGAAAACACTTCAAGGGGTGTTTCAAGAAAGTTTTAAAGTAAACTGGTTTTTTTAAATGCTTTTAAAAAGCTGTTATTATGCTATTTTATATTTCTATAGTTAAACATAATTGCTAAACATACTAGACATACTAAGCAGGGGCATGAGAACCCGCATTTTTTTAAACATGAATTTGGAACTATTTCCGCTTGTATCACATAGCGAGCAGCACTTTTTTGTCTAAACTTTTGGTAACATTTACGGAAAAATTATCCGATTTGTATTTGGTATAAATTAAACAACTCATGTTAAACGTCAAAACTTTAGACGGGATTAATTTAATTACTTTAGTTTGTTTTGCTAATCTCTGTTTCGGTAAATAGAAATTTCATGCAACATTGTTTGAAAAAATCACACTTTGAACAATAAAATTTTCTGTGTTCTGTAGCACGAAAACTATACTCTTTGGCACCCAAATCTCTAGCACTGCATTTTTCCATTAGACCACTTTCCAAAACAGGTCGAAGCGCTTTCTCGTTTTTGTTAACCGATTTGTTTAGAACCATAAAAGAACTCACTTGACGAGAGGAAATCTTAATAAAACGGGTCGAGAAAAATCGCCAAATGTTCGCCCCAAAGATATGTGGTAAGATTTCTTACGAATATTTTACAGACAGTCTGCAGATCTGTCAAAGACTAGAACAAGTTAAAGTTAAAATAGTAGAAACAATTTTATTGCCAGCGTTGTAAAATGCGCTCAATGACCAATAGTCAAATATTCTCAATGCTTTTCGGGAAATGCGTTCCTGGAGTTAGCGGATCTCGAAAAGTGCAATTTTAAACAAATGCGTTTTATGCTTATTTAAAGAAGTATTTTTACTAGTTGAGTTTAAAGCACAAAAATACTGCGTTTTTCTTCTTTTCATTCTTTTTTCCAGATTAAACTGAAAAATTTGATAGGTGAAGGTAACGGTCTCGGATTTATATTGAATTTAGTAGGTACAATTTTGGATTTTTCAAAAGTTTCCTGTTGTTGTTTCCGAATGTTTCCTGTTTCCAAATGTTGTTTTAAAACTGTTTTTTTTTTCTTAACATTTAGTACAAAACTCATAAATCTACTTGTATTTGCTCCCAATGGAACAAACCAATGGATTGATGCATCCAATTTGTCCAAATGAATACGTGTAGTATTCACCCACGCTTTAAATATTAAATTTGTCTAGGCTGACCGGGTTGTTATAAGGACTCATGATTTTGGTCTTACGTAAGTTTATCTGAAGCCCCACTGTTTGCGATACTTCTTTTAGCTCCTTAAACATGTTAGTGATGGCTCTCATAATCAATGCTACAGAGGACAATGTCGTCTGTAAAACATAGATGGCTCAATTACCTCCCGTCAATGTTCATGAGTTTTAACTCCTAATCCAAGATCTTCAAAACTCCTTCCAAAGCCAAGGTGAACAGCTTTGGAGATATTGAGTCTCCTGGTGTAGCTCCTCTGTTTATGGATTTTTTTCATGTATTGATGTTTTCTGTTATCTTGACGTGAAAAGTGGCATTCTCGTAGAAGTTCTTTATCCGAATGTAGTATCGTGAGTCGATCCTATCCGTTTTTAATTAATTTAGTACTGTCCATTTTTCTACCGAGTTAAACACCTTTTGATAGTCGACGGACCCAAGGTGAAGGAAGACATTACACTCCTTACATTTCTCCATCAGTGTCCGCAAAGTGTGAATATGGTCGGTGTTGCTATTGCTTTTTCTGAATCTTACTGGTTCTATGGCTTGGAATAATTCTAGTTTTTTACTCAGGCGTCTGGCCATGATCTTGCTAAGTCACTTTAATGCTAGATAGGAGGCTGATGTGATAGACCTGTAATTTTAGATGTCGCTACAGTCTCCCTTTCGGAAATAGGATTTTGCCTTCAGCGTTTTTCCATGCTTCTGGGATGCGGTGTGCTTCTAGACACTTACTGAGCAGGATGAGGATTGCTTTTTCCAGTGTTGTTCCCCGGTCTTTCAGCATTTTGCAGTAATGCGGATTTTCCTTGGGCCTTGTGGTTTTTCATCGATCTCAGAGCCTCCTCTCGTTCGGGTGGGTCGATCTACGGTGGTTCGTCCGATCCCACATTTAACATTGTTATCTCTCTGACAACCTGTGCCTGACATTTCCTGTCGACAGAGCTTTCAGTAGATATTTTGAATGCCGGTCATGATCTCTTGCTCTTCAGCTCTGTATCTTGTTCATTCCCCATTTTCCGAATGGCCTGTTTTCCTCTTGTCATACTCATCTCCATTCCTTCATGTTAAGGTTGTCTTCAATTGCTTGCTGAATCAGATGGCTGTGGTTTCTTATATAATTCCTAATATCTTTTTTTTTTGTTTGTCAATGACTCTGTAGTCTCACAAATGTCTATGCGTCTCCCTTCGCGTCTTTTGCAAATTTATTGTGGCTGCACTAAGCTTCGATCGTCCACCTATTGTAGTGACCATGCCTGTTTCACAGACGTTTGGATGCTTTTGGTTATTTTTTTGGATTAGATCTCAAGGTCTCTATTTTTCAGGGCCTTTACAGATTAGAGTTTTTGTTCTATGTAGGAGTGATATTTATCTCTCTTGTGTTGGAGTTCAAGTAGGCTTACTGATGATTTTTTTCTGAATCATCTTTTTTCTTTCGAGGCGAGTAGTTATGCATCCTTTTACTGCCACACACCGGTGGTCACTTCTTGTATTGAAACCTTCCGGAACAGATACATCCGGGCAGTCTTGTTTCTCTGTGGTTAGGATATAATCAGTTTCGTACTTTACCTGTCGATTCGAGCTTCTCTACGTCTACTATCGTTGCTTGGAGTTTTTTTAAGAATGCGTTTATGCAGAACATCTCCTCCTACTAGTGACTGTGCAAGTCCAGTATGGACCAATGTTGTCCGGGTCTCCCACTTGCTTCTCTCCAATTTTATTGGAGCGTGTTGCTCGCCCCAATCTGTTAGCTGTCGAAATATCTTCGTAGAACTGTTACACTTCCTCTTCTGCGGCGGCTGATGTCGCTCTGTCTTGCGTTTAGCTTTAGCTCCATGTAGAAAACTCGATCTGGTATCGCTCTGCTGCTGGCGACTTAGTGTTTGAGTCTATGGTGGACGAGCAGAGCTGCTCACCCCAAATGATGATGTTCGGTGTAGTTTCTTCGAAAAAGGTAATGTCACGACTTAAGCACGGTAGATGTCCCCCTTGCATACTTGTTTCACACAGTCCTATGATGTCTCATCTGATGTTTTTAAGCTTTGTTTCTAGAGCTTCCAGATGTTCTTCTAGTTGCAACGTTCGTTTGGTACGTGGTAGCAGCGTCCCTTATCTTCTGCCAACAAATGTTGAGAGCCGCTATCTCATGGTTTAAATGCTCGAAATGCTCCTAATGTCCCATAGTTCTGTTAAGAACAATTGTGTTTGGCATATAAGTTTGAAGATGTTTCCTTCCAACATAGACAGTTAACTATAAATTATTCACATTTAGAATATTTTATTACTAAATTGTACATTCGAAACAACGTTGCTTTTAATTTGAATACCTTATTCAATTCAATAGTCCAAATTCAATAGTAGAAACTGTTATTAGCATAATTGTAGGATGTTAAATTAAGCACACAAACGTATGAAAATGTGCAAATCACTGAGAATATTACGCTACAGCAAAAAGAGGAATCTTGCTGTATTATCAATTGAATTGATTCGATTTAGTATATTTCAATATTTCCTTAAATTATTTCAGTAAAGATGATTATTATAGAATAATTTGCCTTAATGTTCTTCAAAGCCTCTCAAAACTACAGCTAGCAAATTCAAACTGTGCTTTAAGAAAAACGTAAAACTTGACTAGACAATATTTTAATGAACAAACGATCTTACAGCACTTTGGTAAGATGGGACACCAAATAATGATTATTTGCTTCTCTGTGCCAACAGATGGTTAACCTGAAGCCGGGCATGGAAATCCGAGAAATGTTTGTCAAAGTGCCGTTTCCACTCAGTTTTAACGTCTATATTTTCTCGGTGCTGAATCCTGCTGAGGTGCAAGGCGGGGCCAAGCCACACCTAAAGGAAATGGGCCCCTTTTGCTACAAGTAAGCTCAAATATGTAATAGTGTTTTATATACCACATTTCAGGAAAGGATCTGTGTATTTTATGAATAAAATAAAAAATACAGGGGTTTCGTGATATGTGTAGGTATCAAAATAAAAAAAATAATAGGTTTATCAATGAAACGGTTTCGATTTCTATCCTACTCGTATAACAGATTTGGATTTTACCTCCAATTTGGGATAAGTTTTATATGATATACCCTAAACCGAATTTGAACAATTTCCGAGATGGAAGAAATTAAAAATTAACTTTCCACTGACACTAAAAGTATTACTCTAAAATTTTAATCCAACAAGTTCAAGTTCTAGGGTTTATTGCAGAAACAATCCCCCATTTTTATGCTTTAATAGATAAACTATTTATATAATCTCACTTCTATTTAATAAAAATTAGCTTTTGATCGGCAAGGAAACTTTTAAATACTTTGGCACCAATTGGTTTTTACTGAAAATACCTTCAAGCCGAACAAATAAATAAATAATTTAAAATGAAAAGTTAATAATTGTGTCCTTTACTAGAAATATTCATTTGAAATCTCTGGACTCTCTAATTTTAGAATCCCCTAGTAACTGAATCCTTTATAACTCTCTCTAGAATGAACAAAGAATACGTAAATACCATCTTTGTAAAATTTTGCCATTGCAACAATTAACACCAGAAAAACAGGCAGCTTGTATTTGACTGAAACTTGAGATTAAAAACAACTGTTTTTATTACGGCGGCAGCAAGGTGAGCCTGGATTACACTATGCTGAGTTGCCCCTTTGGGTTATTGCCGCTGAGTTATTAACCAATTCACGACTGGTCATTTAGACGTCTTTTTTAATATAAAAATAAAATCTCTTATAAGGAAACCCTTAAATTACTCAGCAGAAAAACCATGGGAGAGTGGCTCGTGAAGGAAATTGGTCGATGATTTGATCATTCGTTGCCAATCGGTTTTTTCAAGATCGTTATAAAGGTGAACAAAACACTAATTTCTGGTTTATTTAACTGGTCAGATAAATGACTTTAAAGAGGCCTTAACTAGACTTAGACTTAACCATTGGCCACAACCATTTTTATTTTCGGCTATTCCAGCCATTTCCCAAATCTCCTTGTAGAGATTACAATAATCGTATTTTCGTTCATCCTCTTTAGTTTCTTTGCACTTTCTGTGAATCCAACTTCTTTTCGCTTCAGTGATCTTCCTCTTAATGTTCTGGTTTACTTTATCGTTAACTGCATTATTTCTTCTTTATCGCATGGGATCCACAAGCTTCAATATTTTATTTGTGCCATCTAAGTTTCATTTGCTTTTGCTCACACTATAATTTATTTCTCACACTGTTATTATCCCGTTTTTATATCAATTCAGCCTTCGTTTATTCTAGAAGCGTCTTGATAACTTTTCAGTCTTTTAAGATTTACATGCTTTCTGTGCATTACATGTTGCACAACTCCCAAAACATCTGCTTTTGTTTAGCAGTTGATCTTGATGGAATGCACGTCCGAACGTCGAGTTAATATCAAAATTCTTTTTATCGTGCTGCTCGATGTCTGGTGGAGATTTTCATATCCACAAGCGGCGTTTTGCAATTTGAAAAATGTGTTTATAGTTACAAGCTCTTCGTTTCTACCGAACACCACCAGTCTGCCCCTGCTCATTTCGATTTGTCAACGCACTTCTCAGCTTCACTTTCTCCTTCCAATCTTAGCATTAAAATAGCTAATAACGATGATAATTTTTTGGAGGTTTGGTTTCTTAACATTACGCTTAGGATATATGAATTTTTTTGTGTAAATTAATGCTAAAATTTTTGAATTTTATTTCATTTTTAAGCAAACAGTTATTTTTTCTATTTGCTCTGGATAATGCATTTTATTACAAATTGAGTTTTTTTATTTCCATTAATTCTCAATTTTTTTACTTTATCAATGGCAATTTGAGTATTGGTTTCAATTGGTCATAGAAAATTTTCGCAGTGTTTTTATGGTTTCGAATATATTTATTATAGACAGGACAATCGGAAATGGGCAATTAATGCACATGGGATTATCAGAATGACAATAAATTTATTTTCATTTTTTTAAATATCCGATTAACATAGTGTTTTTGTAAATTTGAAAATTAATCTCGTGATCGTCAGATGTTGTAAAATTGATTTTTATGTTCTGCTTCTACCTCGAACACTATTTTGATTTTCGGAAATTCTGAGCCCTGAATTCTAATGTAATTTGTTTTACCCTTATGACAATATTTTATCATTAATTCTTGTTTCTTCTGTTTTAACGTTGTTTAACTTTGAACATTCAATTAGTTCAATGTTTTAAGATTAATGTAATATATTGTTAAAGATTTACTGAACGTTCTATTTAAAATCAATAAATATATGAGTGACTTTAGAACAAATCTATTTTTTAAGAATTTCAGAGTTGTTTCAATCTTGGCTGGTAGGAATTAAAATGTGTTTATCAACTTTTCAATATGTGTCGGATGATGACTTTTTCCCTTTTACTTAATTGCTGTTTATTGTTAATTATTTCATCTAATATTCGGTTGAAGTTGGCTGCTGAACTTCACCAAGCGTTTCTGCATCCAAATCCATAAAAACATCATCATAATCTTCCAGTTGCTGCGTCTAAAGTTGAACAAAGGCTTTTCCTAAATTGTTCCAGTCGTCTAGATTCTGAGCTTTTTGTAACCAGTTGCCAGCAATTATTTTGACATCGTCTGTTCATGGCGTAGGTGATCTGTCCCTACTCCTTCTCTTAGTTCAAGGTCTCCACTATGTCAATTTTCTGGTTCACCGCCCATTAGCCATTCTTGACTCCTAGCCGGCCCGTTCCACTTAAGCCATGCCATGAGCGCGATAAGATCCCTGACGCCTGTCCTCATTTCCTCATTTCTGACTCTATTTCTGAGAGTCATTCTCAGTAGCGACCTTTCCATTCTTTTTTGGACTTTGGAAGTTTGGGTGCTGTGGCCTGGGTTAAGGAGAATGTTTCGGCACTGTGAGTCATGACTGAGAGGACGCATTGGTCGGACCTTTCATATGCTTCGTCGGTGATTTCATATGCTGTTCTTCATTACGTCTGCTAGAGCTCCATATGCAGCCCATGCCAGATCAGTGGTTTGGTCATCTCTGGCAATTTGGATTTCATGACCTAAGTTAAGAAGTATTTATATATGTAGACTAGTATTATTTCGTTACCACCGACATTTGGGTTTCCACTTGGTATCAAATTTGTCATAAATTGCGTTTTTCCAAAACTAATGTTTAAACCGACTTTTATGCAAATGGCTCAGTAAGCCCAAATTGCATGTTTAAGCACTATGTCGTCGGCAAATCGTAGGTGGGAGAGTATGTCGCCGTCAATCCAGTCCAACTGCTTGAAAGCAAGTTTGGCAGATAACGTGTCCTCGTTTCTAATTCCTCTTTCGCCTTTTATGCACTTGGCATCTTTATGCAATCTTACAGTCATTGCATTGCTGTTTATGTCTTCAATCAGTTTAGAGTACCGATAGTCCACATGGCGTTGCTCTAGCGCTTTCATTACACTGTTTATTTCGTATCGAATGGGCTAATACCAGGTTTCGCTTGTATTCGATGAATTTTTCCATCAGGTCTTTAATGCAGTGGAGGTGGTCGTTAGATCCAAAGTTTGCCCTAAATCCCGCCTGTTTTCCAGGTTGATAAAAGTCCAATTTTCGTTCTAACCGAGTTGCTATTTTATTCTTGTGAAAAGCTTGTTGTGGGTAGTTTTCAAAATCTGTTAGATCGCCCTTCAGTATCAAAATGGTTAGCGCATCAGCGTTTGGGCATCACATGCGGTAGTTGCCGGGGGGTTAATTGGATTTGTGTGGTAGTTACAATTTTTTTTACTTCGGGATTATCAGTTTCCAAGTTTATGTTTATTTTTATTGTTTATCAACCGGTCCACAGGTTGCAAGCGGAGCGGAATCACATTGGGTTCAAGTTCAGAGAGCAAAATTTCAATATCTCGCACGACACTAACGTCAATTATTATAACTATCAAATGGGTATACCTTGTTATGGTTTGGGGTGCTGCTTGATTGTCATCTACCCATGTTTTCGAATTTTAATTTGTGTCTTTATTCTTCATCGCTTGTAACGATAGGTGGTTGACTTACTCTGATGACCTCTGTGTTTGTATCTTCTGTCCATTTGTTGTACGTGATTTATTTTATACTGTTTTATTATATATTTTTTTTAATTTTTCACCATTCTTGACTGTACTGTGCGTACTTTGTATTGCAGTATTTTGTTTTGGTTTTTTACTCGCTTTATCCATAAAATTTGTGAATTTTTCCGTGGCACTAAAGCATATTTTGATTTGAATTGATTTGAGTTGATTGTGCTATCTTGTTGCTGATCGGCTTGGTGGAGACATACGTTGAGAACGTTTTGAAGACATACGTTCCTTTATTTTCTCTAAAAGTCTGTCCCCTCCAATTTTTTCAGCTTTGTTAACAGTACCGCCTTCACGCGAAACTTTAGGGTTTTTAATTTTCTTTCGTGCGTTTCTTATTACATCTGTAGTTACATATGGCATTCCTTCCGAACCTTTGTTCTCTTTTTTTTCCAGAGTTTTTCTATTTGTTGCTCATCAACGTTTTGTCGACTCTTATACAATTCTGTATAGAGTTATTCTAACTACTACCCTTAACAATTCTTCGCTGTTGGTGGTCATAGCTCTATTTTTGTCTTTCGATTTTGCCCTTTGAAATGTTCATTTTGATCCTGACCATTTCACAGAAATCGCTCAGCTGATATCTCTCAGTTCCGGTAGATTGCTACTTATAATGACGAAACGGAGGTGGTTGAAGTAAGATCATGAATGATTTGCACTGACAATGTTAGCTTATCAGTGGAATAATCGAGGACGTCACAATTTAGCCTTGTGACGTAATAACAAACGATCAAGTAAATTATTCTTCCCAGGGTGAATTTTAATTTTTAATCGTTCTGAGCTTTAATAAAACCGCAACGACAAAAACACCAACAATATTTGCTTTCAAAAACGTTTAATAACAGAATAATTTTCTAAATTTACAAACGTTTCCTAAATATAATTTACAAAACTAAACTTACCTTAGCTCTCTAGCGCGCGCCTTTAAAAATCTCGCGAGCGGGCGCGCCGCGGCTATTGCACCGCAAATGCTTTTAAAAAAAGCAAACGTCATTAACTACTTTAAAATGTATTTAATAAGTGCAATTAAAACAAGTAACCGAAAATAGATGCAATTCTACAATTAATACTTGAAAAAATTCCAACAAAATTAAATAAATATGTAAAAAATCTAAAAATAGATATCTGAAGTACACATCATTGTTTTTTCCAATAAAAAATTGATAATCTTTGTCTGGTCCCGTGGTTCAAATTCCGTTTTTCTTTTATCTGCTTATTGTTCGGAATCACTACTATAAACGTTACTTTCAGTAACTTCTGGCTCCTGGTCTGAATCGCTGTCAAAATCGTCATCTATTACGTGACTTCTGTTCCCGTTAATGTTCTATTGTAAATCTTATTCTGCTTATCCGCTAATTATCTCACCACCTATGACAACAATTTTTCTAATTCGTCCGGACTCAATTTTTTTTCGACCTCTAACAAAAATTTAAAATCTATATACATTTTTTTAGCTTAAACGACATACATCTACAATACGTCACCATAAAGAACCAAACACGATAAATGTGTATCAAAATATGCTCAATTCGTAACAAAAAACTCCATAAATATATTATTATTATACTTACATGACCAGGCGCGCCGCGGCAAATTAGCCGCAAAAATTGCACACTCTTACTAAATGCCACTCTGCAACTAATGCCGACCGAAATAGGGCCTGTTCGATATAGGAATGAACGGACAAATGTATTGGGAACGAATACCTGGAAGAACGACGGCGTCAGTTTTAATGCATGGTATTTATAACAAAAAATCTAAAAAATGCGGCATTTTGCCGCGGACGCGTCCGCTGGAGGGTTAAGCTTAAGATTAAGAATTGAAATGCTGAAAGTCAAGCAAAAAAGTCCTGCTTATTCTATTTTAACTAATTTTTAAAGAAAACAAAAGTGTCATAATTAGTCGCAACTGTGTGCTCTAATTGCACATGCGACACTACCGTCAGTCCTTGACGGTGAGATATTGGCCTCCAAAAAGGGAATTAAGTTTAAAACTAACTGTTTTTGGAGCTAAGTAGCCTGCTGCTATCAGCCCGTTGAGAAGTCTGTACGACCTCTTTTTAAAGTTGATACTGGCCAACTAAACTGGTTGAGCTTCCAACGTTGCAAATTTTTTGTTTAAGAGACCTTCAGAAGGTGGGGGTTGTGGTTCAACCACTGAGATACTGCGCCCTTTATTGCACAATACTCCAAACACCAATATAGGGGCTCGTGTCAAATTAGACACCGGGTATACCAAATGATACGAGAGGGGGTGCGATGCTTCGCGTTCGAAAATCCGGTGCGTACTACCTCCATGAATTTTTTTCTTTACTCGCCTGGTCGGGCACTTAAAAAATGCTTTCGCTGATAAGATCAACGACCCAGGCGGTTTAAATGAGTTTATTTTTACAGGGGAAAATCAGGGTGTGTTTCACCGTTTGTTGCAAGTAAGTCTGCAACAGATCAATTTAAATTTATGCTTTTAGTTTCCCACTGCATTGACCTAAAGACATTCTTTAGCGCTTATTAACACAATTTTGGAGATATGTTCTTGATTCTCATACGTAATGAGGCATTTTGTATATATCTTTCAGTAAATTTGTCTAGCGAGAATCTATTCCCAATAGAATTGAGACGTGTGAATGCCCACGTCTCAATTGAATCGAACGCTTCTACTAATGCCATATACATCGTTCTCGATATCACTAATGTACCCATTTTTAAACAGCAGAATAACTTCTGCATTCTGCTATCAATCCGGAATTTGGCCCTCCTGAAAGAATTTATTTAGAAGATTCTGTAGTGGTCTTTCGATTTTTAGCAATTTACAGATGATTCTATCCTCTCCCGGGCTTCTCCGTTATTTCATTTTTCTCAGAACACCTTTTATTTCTTGCCGAGTTATCTTTGATATATCTTCGGATCCCACATTGCAGAGCTTTTCGCACCTTCTGTTGCTGCAGCAGGTCTAATGGAAGTATACAGAATAGTATAAAATTTTTGGCTGTGCTCAGCAGTACCGTTGCGGTCCAAGACTACATATTGGTCATTTATTGTGGTCATCTTGCGACTACCTGGAGATAATTTTGGTCTAATACCCTCATATTTGCGCTATTTTCAATAGTGTTTTTGATAGTTTTGGTGATGTATACTCGGATGTCTTTTTTACCTCTTGTGTGCTCCGGTACTCTGAGGGACTGGAAGTGTTTCTTCTTTGTTCCGTGAGGACTCAACTTGTTCCTTAGTTTCCAGCAAAACTTCTTGACCGTGGTGAAGATGTCATTGGTAATTTTGAGGCATAGTTCGTTGAACTCCATGTCATGATAGGTATTGAATAAACTCAACTTCCTGGCCAGCTCTTTTTGATATGCCTCTGTTCTTTGTTCAAGTTCGTGAGCTGTAGAAGATTTATTTTTTTGTATCAGTTTGTTTCTTTCGATTTTCAGCTTAAAACTAAGAGCTGCTCTTCCCAGCCTGAGCCCGAGTCAAACCAGTTCAGCACTGAATCGTCTGTGCGTATTTTGTGTCGTGTGCGAGAATGTAATCGATCGCATTTTTTGTTTCGCCGTCGAGGCTCCACGAAGTCCACTTTCTCTGTACGGGTTTTTTGGAAAGAGTGTTAAAGCAGAATACATTTTCTTTATTTAAGAGGACACCCAACATTTCTCCTCTGTGATTTCTTGCTCCCCCAAACCAAAAGTTCCAATGTTGTCAAAGTCAGTTGCGTCGCGTTGCCAAACATACAGTTGAAGTCGCCACTTATGACCTTGTAGTGGGTTTTGCATGCACCAAGCGCTTTGGTGTCTTCGAGAAAAGTTTCCATTTTCTCATCGTCCGCATTACTTGTTGGTGCATATCGTTGGATACACTCTATACTGCATCGTTTGTTGAGTTTAAGCACCATGTAAATGACCCTGTTAGAGGCCGATTCCACCTCTGCTACCAAATGTTACAGCCACGTATATTACCTGATTTCAGGTCAGTGGGTTCCTCATCTGGTAGTTGTTTCTGGCAGAAACCGATGATATTCTATTTTATATGTTCAATTTCTTCTTCTAGCCTGTTGAAATGTTCGGGATCCCTCATTGTTCCGATATATATTGTTTGCAGCCAAGTCGAGTTTGAGCCTTTGTGAGATCAAGATAGTAGTATCAGACATTGGATCAGACGCTGTTTGTAGCCGCTTACTCTGGGTCAGACGATACAGTGGTGGTTTTGGTTCGCCCCAAGTATTTAATTACGTCGGTACCACCCAATTCTCATCATAAAGGCAGAATAGAGAGGCCCTATGGGGGACCTCTATCCTGCCAATCTATCAACCCCTTAAGGGCAGTTAATCATCACATCGAAGTTTAGAATTTTGGTAATGTCCATTTGATGCTATGCTGATCAATTGCATTCTGTCGTTCTAGTGAAGACGTAAGATTCCGTAGCGTTAAAAATGTTCTAAAAAAATTGTCTACTTAAACATGAGAGAAATGTATATTAAAAAATTTTAAAAATCGGATCTACGTTGATGATAAATCTATATTAAAATGGGTTCTTCCTAGCAAAGCCCTGATCATAAATACTGGGACAAATTGCATAACGAAAAACTCCGTACATGCCTAACACCAATAAAAATTTTCCAGTGAATGGAAAACAAAAATCAACGTTGAAGACAACGAGGGAGACGATACGATTAGCTACGATCCGGTGGACACTTTTGAGAATGCAAAGCGTCCGAAATGCCTGAGTGTGGATACTCTAGTAACCATTCCACATCCGATGATTTTGGTATGCAACCAAACTCTGTTCTGGGCACTTCTAAACAGTTTTTCGACTTGTTTCAGGGTATGGTAAACACGATACTCCGTCAGAAACCTGGAGCATTAACGCTAGCAAATAAGGCCATAAAGTCCATCTGGTCGAACCCCAGTTCTTTGTTTATCACTGTAAAGGCGCAAGATTTGCTTTTCGATGGCGTAGTGATCCACTGCGGAGTCAGCGACTTTGCCGGCAAAGCTATTTGCACCAACCTGAAAGCAGAGCCATCGTTGACCCATCTAGGTGAGGACGATTTGGGATTTTCGCTGATGGGACCGGTAGGAAGTTTGAAAGTTGGCAACAAATCAATCGGAATTAGCCTGTTTGCTATTGGTAGAAAAATGGTACAGCTGGAAAACGAATCAAAGCCTTTCGCGGAACTCAAGATTTTCATAAAGTTGGCCGCATCATTGAGTTTGACGGCAAATCCAAACTGGACGTGTGGAACAACTCGAAATGTGACACAATTGTTGGTACTGATGGTACCATATTTCCGCCGATGCTCAAAAAAGAGGAAGGACTGGCGTCGTTTGCGCCGGATCTATGCAGGTATCCCTCAAACGCATAAAGTGGTCATTTTTGGAAATACATCATTTCAGGTCGCTGATCGCTCAGTTTGACAAACATGACAAATACGATGGGATCCCAGTCAGCTCATTCTTTGCCTCGTTGGGCGATCAGTCGAAAAACCCGGCTGAAAAGTGCTTCTGCACCACCCCGGAAACGTGCTTGAAGAGAGGTATGTCGCAATTTGCAATCTTTATATCGGCCCACCAAACATTCCGATTTTACCTGGCAGGACTGATGGACTTGTACAGATGCGCAAAAATTCCTCTGTATGTGTCTTTGCCACACTTCTACGATTCGCATGAAAGCTATTTAAAGGGTGTCAAGGGGCTGAAGCCAGATGTTGAGAAGCACGGCATACGAATCATGTTTGAATTGGTAAGTTATTTCAGGTTTACGAATGAACACTAGCATCCGTAAACGGTTTTCTTATTACATATAACTAACCAATAGATAAATTATATTTAATATTGTACCGTGGATGGCCGAGTATTAAACTCTTTCTTCTGCTTCCAACTTTTATTCTACTCGGTACAACTTTAACTACGGAACAAACTAACTTCTAAATTAACGTCAACTTCACAAACAATAACAATAACAAACGGAAAACACGCGTTTCCGACTCGCGGGGTTTAGCCTCTTCTGCACCCGGACGCGGCTGTCACTTCACTGACTTCCCATGGTGCTGGTCGTCGCTTATATAGTTTCTTCCAGGTAACCCAGAAGATTTCTCCAGTCCAGGTGCGAAATTTCCCGCTTGTCAGTGTCATATTTGACAGTAAATGGGGCCCAAATGGGGCTCCCATTTACTGAAATATCATGAATTTCGAGCCCCCATTCCAAACGTGAGTACCCCAGGCCATTTCCGTTACAATATGATTAAATCTATACCTCCATTTTATGCAATGTTGCCGTATTATTTTGCTTTCTATCAAAATATTCAAAATACATGTATTTCTTAAAAAATATTTAGAACGTCATTTCCTAATTTCCTGACTCACCCACGTTTCCCTGAGGATATTGTCCTGGTGAGCGGAGATGCCGACAAACTTGAACTCGTGCTCCTGCTGAGAGAGCTGAAGGAAGCTTAGGAGTCCGTGGGCCTGAGGATGAGCCTCCGAAATATTAAAATAATTTGTCAAGGTGACATTCAGATCACAATTGATAACCACACGCTTGGTGTTGTTGAAAAGTATGTGTACCTTGGATACAACATCAAGCTTGTCAGGGATAACCAGACAGAAGAAATCACCAGGCGAATTGGCGTGACGTCGGCTACTTTTGAAAAACTTGAACACATCCTCAATAAACCGGAGATACCCATCAACCTGAAGCGGCAAGTGCTCAACGCCTGCATCTCACTTGTCATGACCTACTGCCTCGAAACTATAACAGGGCAGAAAACACGACGAACCGACTCAGAGTATGTCATCGGGAAATTGAACGGGGGATGCTGGAGATCAGCTCTAAGGACCGAATTAGGAACGAGATCGTCAGAGAACGAACTAGAGTTGTTGATGTCATAGAACGTATTGCCACCAATTAATGGCAGTAATAATGCAGTGGCGGCCCAGTGCATTAAAAGTAAAAGCACTCTTTATTTATTCGTAATAAAAGACGTTAATAATTTTTGAAGCAAATAACCTTACAAAAAGCTATTGAATACGTGAATCCGCTTCAACCATATACAACTAATCTCCGGAACAGAGAATGTTCGGACACGACCGTGCAATTTAGGGAAATGCCGTTATACTTTAGAGGTGCATGGCCAAAAAATTAGGGGTGATAAAAGGGAATATGACCCCCAAAAATTCGGCCCATTCTTGCGGCCAACGGAATATTGAACGGCCTGGACTTTAGAGCATAAGATAGTATTTCAATTTTTTTCTGACTCTATGAAAAGGTCTAAGACCGTGAACGGGGAACTCCAATAATATTTAAAACATCATCACCCTGTATATTAAAAACGCGGCAAAATGAGGCAACTACTTGCCTCAATGTCCCTTGTCAGTCTGTTTATGCCACACCCTATGCATCTGAAAGAATTTAAATTATCTGGTTACTTGATCTACAAAATGAGCTTCGGTTTACATCATATACTAGATCGAATTGCGACTTTTGATCTCTTGCAGTTGACAGGCAGTCCATTAAGTGCCAGAAAGAGACTTCAGTTCAACATGCCTTTGGAACCCAATCCCAAAGTGGAGCTTTTCCATAATTTCACACCAACGGTACTGCCGATTTTCTGGGTGGAGGAGGTAAAGAGCTCCCTAATAACTCCATAACTGGTAGACTCTAGGTCGATTCTTTTAGGCTGTCGACCTGAACAGTACTTTCACCAAACCCTTGAAGACACTGTTCCTAACCAAGAAATTAGTCAATATTGTGAAATATTTGGTGCTGCTGATGAGCATCGGAGGTAACGAATAACTCTTTAATAATTCGATCGATTGCATGCTAGAAATTGCAAGCTTGGTTTTCCATAAATAAGTAAGGGGCCTTTGAAGTAAAACTAGGCCATTTAGTCATTAAGGATTTACCAAGTTCGATATCTAAGTCTAAACATAATTAATTAAGCCAAATGTTGGTCATCAAGTATAGCTAGAGTTTCTCATTAATTATTGCCGTTCGTTCCCGGCTGAATAACTGATAGGTATATTGTTTAAAATGATATTCGAGCGAAAGATGCCAAAATGCCAATTGAAGTTTAATGGGGAGCGTCAGGTTGCAAAGGCCCCTAAAAACGAATTCAATTATTATAGTTGAAAATTACTAAGGCGCTCAATGTCTCTATAGGTTTTTGTGCAGCAGTATATCTCTACTTCAAATCTGATGACTCCATGAATGTGACATCCGTCCAGAAAGTGCAGCCTGATCAGAACGGACACAGAAACATCATAAGCACTGTCTTCAATGGAAACCACACAGCGGGACAAGACAATGAAGCTTATGAAGACAAGTACTAAAATAATGCAGTCGTGTCCAAATATATTCTGGCTGTTTCTGGTGGAGTTTTAATCAGTGTTTTGGCGTTCTCCAAACGTGCCTAAAAGTTTGCATCTTCTGAGGTTTAGGAGTAGTTGCTCAAAAACATGCTGACGTACTTTAGAATAGTATAAGTTTGCAACCTTAACAAGTGATTCAAGTGCTTGCAATTGTGGCACTACTACTGTGTTTATTTTTAATCTCTCAGCTTAATTGAAGGAGAAAGTTTATTTGAGAGGGATTGAACTATGTAGGAAAAGACAAAGTTTTGGTTGTTCGGAATCTTCTCTTTTTACATCTACAACTGCTATAAGCAATGTAACAGCTATAAGCAATGTCTACAGTAATTTTCGTCTTTATTGTATAACCAATAAATAATTACTAGAATGACAAAAAAATTTAGGAAGTATTGATTTGTCCTTTTGCTTTGTTTGTTTTTGTGTTTTTTGTGCTGAAAAAGTAAAAAACTTTAAAGCGGAAATTAAGAACAAGGAAATGATAACTTCTTTCGGATTGAAGGTGATTTTTTAGAAACACGTTACTTTGGAAAACTTAAATGTTCTTAACGAAGATGAAGCAATTTAATTACTTGTTGACGCATTTTTCAAAACATTGTTGCAGAAACAACAGTAGTTTCAAAATTTGTTAAAATGCACAAAAATGTCTCATGTTTGATTGCACCTTTATAAATTTCACCCAAAAAAGTGGCAAATAAGGAACCATTTCAGATTACCATTTACTAGATGTAAATTTTGGCCAAAATAGTTTCTATCTTTGATTCTAGACTTAGGAAGACTATTAAATTAGTGATATTATTTTAAACTAACTATAGTCTTTGTACAACTTAAATAATAAATGGAAAATTGTACCATGGTCAATAATGACTAACCTTATTTCTCAAAATGATAAAAGTAAGAAAAATAAATATGTTTAAAGTGAAACCGGCAGTTCCACATAGAGAGAGTGCCTATCGTATATCTGAGAGTAATGATCCTGGAAAATTAGAGATAAAATTTGGGTCACTAGGTGAAGTGGCCATCAGAAAATCCGGAAAACGATTTTTAAGTACAACATTCTACTACAAGGAGGTGCACTTAAAAGGTAATACTCTAAAACCCTAACCTTTCCAAAAATTTACAATATAAGTTGTACTTTCACTCACATCGTTGAAAAGCTTGGCCAATTTTGCAAGAATTAGCTTAAAGATTTAAAACTGGTTGTCCACGATAATAAGACTTAAGGAGTATAACCGAAATAGTGCCTGAAGAACTATGTTTCAACATCAAAAATGTTACCAACTTTTAACATTAGGTGCTATGCATTAAGCAGGGTCCACATTTGCTAACATGTCGCATAACGTTGTCATATACCAATGTTATATGCTAGATGTTGAAATAACTAAGTTTCGTCCACATTTAAGTCATTGATTATGAAATCGTAGAGTGAAAAAGAAGCGCTGCTTGCTAGAGCAGCATGGGCTATTATTTTTGTGGATGAAAATGAAAGAAAATTTTGCATCCGTCCTATATACTCAGGTCGAGAATCGTACATACTGGAAGTAATCTTCTACATGATCTTAAAATAGATGATGGTGGCCTAGCATTTAAGGAAAGCTTTCAAAATTTTTGTTCAATCAGTGGTGCAGATTTTGAATATCTATTAACCCGAATTAATCCAAAAATACACAAAATGGACACACGATTAAAAGATGCAGTACCCATCATGGAACGTCTGGCATTGACTTAACGGTTTTTGGCTACCGGTGACTCCTTTCAAAACTTAATGTACTTGCATTTAGAAATTTTTTCCGGGCTTTGAAGCCGTGGTCTATCGGAATTTCTTCCTGACGTTTCGTCCACAACTGCGGTGGACATTTTCAAAGGCGATGAGGCAGTGGGCGAAGTGATCTCCCGTGCTTTCCGACTAAGAATGATCCAACTGCTGGATTCCCAGTCGTATTTATGCCGCCCAGCCGTGTGTGCTCATGCGTGGGGGATGGGTGGGGGTTCCAACGCTTCGGCGCAAAACGCGCTTCCAATCTGGATTGAGTGCCGTAATTTCTTCTTTTCTGTTGAAATTGTTTTGGTGTTTAAATATTTCGATGGCCTCCCTGGTGAGTCTCGGGTAGTATCTTTCAGATT